CATTATGGGACCCTGACTCTGGTGGGTCTGACTGCCCTGAACCTTCACCTGAATGGCAGGGGAATGTTTAATCTCATCAGAAATGCAGATTTGGCCTCTCTGTCTCGAGCTGGCAGCTCTGCCACACGAAGCAATGAAGTGTGAGGCTGTGCACCACTGCTGCAAACTAAAAATTGAATGATCTGCTGATAGTAATTTAGCTTGGCGCCCAACATCTCATTAAAGCTGATGCTCAATAACAGCATCTTCACATAGTGTGACCAGGGACACTGCTACTGAGAAATTTTTCCCTCTTCAACAGAAGGGGCCCAAGCAACACCTCAGATGAGGCTGAACAAAACTTTATATGTTTTTAATTTTTTTATTAGCTCATTTGCAGAACCTAATACTCCAATTTTTAGGCCCTTTTCAATAGCACACAGGCAGAATTGAAAGAAAACCCTCCAGTTTTAATCAGAAACCCTGAGACAGGACAAATGGAAGGACCATTTCCACTAATCACTTGGGGCAAACCCATCTCAACAGCAACAGAAAGGAAACGAGAGTGCAGGCTGCAGCTTTGTATTTGAGCAGGGAAGATCCCAGAGCAGGTCCATTCGTGTCTCTGTGCTCTACAAACACATCTTCATCAGCAGCACCATCACTTGTACAGCAGCAGACACTGAGAACAAACTACGTGGGGCCACACAACGCCAGCAGAGCCACGGGGCAGCCACGGTGTCACAGCAAGGCAGGACAGTGACAGACAAATGGCAGGGGAGAGGCGCTGCGGACAGGATGTGTGTGCTTCTGTGGTGACATGGAGCATGGATGGGGAACAGGACAAAAGGTCAACAAAAAAGGGATGTCAAAAATCCTCAATTTGAAGGTTTGGCCAAGTGTATTAGCATTAGCAGCACTGCTTTCTCTGAAGCTCCCTGGCTATAAAATTCCCACGTTTTCTGCCCCAGGGGGATGCACACCAGTCCTGGGGAATCAGGCATGCCAAAACTAGAGGAGATCCATTTCTCCAGCCTCAGTTAGTCAATGCCCCTCCACCTCAGGGACCTCACAAGGCAATTTAGGATCCACAACTGGAAGACTGGTGTCCTCATACCTCTAGCAAAGGGAATTGAAGCATGTTCATGTGAATATCTGCTCTGGCTGACACTGCCAGGCCAATGCTTTTAGGTTAAGTGATCAGTCATAGAATCATCACAGAATCCTTGAATGGTTTGGGTTGGAAGGGACCTTAAAACTCATCTTGTTCCAACCCCCTTGCACCATCCCAGGCTGCCCAGCCCCTCTGCTCCCTCCTGACCAGCCCTCCCTGCTCTTGCCTTGCACGCTCCAGGTAAAATGTGCCTCAAGGGTTTGATTTCCCAACTGCTTATTCAAGGGATAACTTGATATATATCTAAAACCAGACTGAGGAGAATGGAAAAAAAAAATATGATTATGAGTAACTGGCAGGAGCAGGTAAATGCCCAAAGGGGATATTTTTAAAAGCATTTAACTTACTGCAATGTTTTCCCAATCCTGCCACTGGGGTGCTCAGCATTACACCCTCCACCCTCACCGGCAGCTCCTGACTTCCCTGGGATGGTTTTCTAGACTAATTTGTCTCATGGCACAATTTCTCTTGGCCCAATTTCACCCTGCTCAAGAACCAAAAGGAGCTGCTAAATGTTGGGAGGAGGAATGCCAAAGCTCATCCTGACCCTATGCAGGATCTGGTGGAGGTTAGTGTGACTGGGATGGCAACTTCTATAACAGCCCTGATATTTCTAGAACTTCTCTTCCCATTCCTGAAATTCCTGCAGTGCCTTTTGGATGGACACAAGAGCCCAGGTTTCCAGTTAAATACACAAAAGCATGTTGAATGGAGATGTATGGCAATTGTAACATCCCAGTCATGCCACACACACCACGCTGCTGCTTGGAACAAAGAAAAAAGTGCTGCTAAAAATACACCTGCATTTTCATAGGTTTGCATTTAGAATTTGTGATTTGCTTTGTTTTGGTTTTGGTTGTTGTTTTGTTTGGTTTTTGGTTTATTTTTTTTTTCAATCCAAACATCTATCTTGGTGCCAGGGAAGAGAACAGAACAGCTGATTTTTAAATCATCCCATTAAAGCCATAAATATAATGTTGGAAGCTCTTAATGGCTTCTGATTAATAAATGAATGGTTGTTCCATACCCTTTAATTCAAATCCAAGATGCTCTGCCAATGCAGAAAGAAGACAAGGAAGAGAAAGAGAAAAAGAAAAACAGGTCTGTCAGAGAACTCTAAAATACAAACACACACACTGTGCAGTTACAGCAGGTTAGCTTTGGTAGGCTCAGCAGCACTCACACAGAGACACTGTATGCTTCAGAGCATTTCAAACCCCCACCACAACTCACATGTTATGCAAAGAAAGACCCAAACAAATTGCAGTGGAAGTTAATTATGAATTCTTTCAGTTAATTATGAATTCTTTCGAGATGAGCCATGTTTGTTAGTACCTGATATGGAATTCACTGTTTAGGCAGGGAAAAAAAAAAAAAAAGAAAAAAAATAGGAAAGGTACACTTGTTCTGAAACAACTCCTGACAGGTCAAAACACATAGAGACTGCATGAGCCTGGTGAAAACCATTCATTCCCTGTGCACAGGGCAGATCTGCCCTGGCTGGTCCTGCACGCCCACTGTGCCCAGGGCTGTGCTGCAGAGAGGAGCTGGGCACGGGGCTGGGGGGGTCCTGTGGGGCCTGGGGCTGGCCAGGGCTGTGCTGTGCCCCCCTGACCCAGCCCAGGGCACGCAGACCCCCATGCCAGCCCTGCCAGCCCTGCCAGCCGCGGGTGCCGCGAGTGCCCGGGCAAGGCAATGATCCCAAAGTGCAAATGGCACTGAAAGCTCCCCCCAAGCCTGTGACCCTCCAAACTGCACTCCTGCCGTGGCTCTGCATTGTTTTGGTGTGCTGCACAAAGCCCAGATGGGAGCATGTGCTTGCAGATTCATATTCAGCACAAGTAAGATTGCAGCTCATCCTGCAGAGACACTGCTAAGCACAGGAGTCTGTCCAGTGAATCAACAGTGCCAAACAGGGGTCCTGAATTTTAGTCATTTCCCATTTTCCTGAATTTTAGTCATTTCCCACTTTCCTGAATTCCTGTCATTTTCCAGACATCACCTAAAGAACAGTTTTCCTTACATAAACATGAAAGTTCTCCATACTTACCACCACACACAAAAGTGAGCTCTGCTGCTCCCAATCACCACACACACAAGATTATTTGCAGCTTGGAGATGTCCACATTTATTTACTATATTTTCCATAGGAATTGCTTTTTGCTGCACAGAAATATTGGCTTTCTTTTGCAGTGCTGTTCAAAATTTAGGTGGGGGGGGATTAGCACTAATTGTTACAGAACATGTAAACACGTGTTCTAAAGCAGGTTCTTCTCTCCAAACCAATGCTGATGTTTCGGGGGGATTTTGTAGGGAGAAGTTGGGGTTCTTTAAGGTTTTGTATGATTTAAAGGCCAAAAAACCTGGTTGCTCTCTGCTTCACAGCTAACATTTGTGTAAAAGAGCATTTCATAGTCATTTTTTGCACTTCTGTACATTTTGTGGCAGTGACATGGACATAATGTGGTGGGCAGCAGAGAACTGGACAGAATATATTCATCCTAAACCACCTGGCTACCACATCCAGCCCTGACCTATTCCAAAGCCTTCCTACCACTGCACACACCTGTTTCCCCTGACACTGACAAATGCAGGTGGAGATACCTCAAGTTTCATCCATAAATCCAACCTGTTGCTCCATCTGCACACAGACATCCCTCCCTGTTCCAGGGCGTTTTGCAACATCTGCAGGTGCAAATGGATGCAGTTCAAAACATTTTCATGATTTTTTTGCAAACTCAGAAACTCCAGTGAGCACAGAGCTGGTGGGCAGGACCTGAGGCGCTTGAGCCCCTCTCATGTCAGAGCTGCTGTTTCTTTTGTCTCCCCAGGCTCAGGTCAGCTGGCTGGGAAACCTGTGCCAGTGTCTCATTGCCATCAAAGGGATGAATTCCTTGCTAATATCCAATCTAAACCTGCTCTCTGTCAGTTTGAAGCCATTCCCCCTTGTTCTGTCACTCCAAGTCTCTCCATGTTTCTTGTTGCCCTCTCCAGCTTCAACAGAACAAGCTCCATTGGAAGCAATTTATCCAAGGGCTACCACTAAAATAAATTGGGGTGAGACAGCCCTGACATGGCAGCTGTAGGCTGAGGAAGTGGGCAAAGCATTTTTCTCATAACCTTCATCATCATCATCATCCTGTCTGCTCTGCACACATCCTCCCTGGCCAGGGCAAGCTGAGCACCCTGAAATGTTGAGGCATCCCCCAAACTCCCTGAACTGGGCACATGAGGGGTTTTTGGGGGAAATCTCATTCCAAATGTGCCTCCTGAATCTTTCTGAAAATGTTTTTCCTCAGCATCAGACAAAAGCCAAAGCCCTGCATTTACTTCATCTGCAGTGCCTCTGTGACTGTGATGTATTGTAGTTATTTTAAAAGATGAACAGACAAAAACATTCAATGTAAAGTATTCCTGCAGGAGCAACACCTCAAGCAAGATGACTCTCACTACTGAACTGTAGATTTATAGGATGATTAAAAAGGATAAAAGCCTTAGCAAAGAGCTGTGAAAGCTGTGGCTGTGCTCACTTGGTCTTCAGATTGCCCAAGAAGGTCGATAAGATGTTTAGTTACTGCACACTATTCCCTCAAAATGCCCTCTCTGGGACACAGAGCATGCTCCAAGGCAGGAAACAAAGTGGAGAACTGACATCTGAGGACTTGCAGGATAATAAATTGGTGATAATTTTGTTGCTAATCAATTGTGCTGACAAGAGCAGCACTTGCAGGTCTCTGATTCAGGCTTTTCCCAGGGTGTACAGGGAGCAATGCAGGACAGAGGGACACGATGGGGACAGAGGACACTGTGCTGTGTCAGGAGCTGGGTGACACGTGGGATCTCTAGGAACAGGAATTCTGTAAATGTTCCACAAGCTCCACAGCCATTCACCTTCTCCAGTGCTGCAGCAATAAAACAAATTTGGTTGGCATCAGGAGTCCAAACACATAACAACAGAGTGTTTGAAATCTGCTGTGGATTTGGAGCATGCAATTAACTTTAGGAGACCCCAAGGGGAACCTGTGCTGTGTCCTGGGGACAGGGATCACCCTGCCATGCTGAACCACAAACACCCTGCAATTCCCCAGCCACAGCAAAGCTCAGCCATCACCCTGTGATTCAGGGGCCAGCAGTTACCCTGACACTGAATGGAGGCTGCAGAATGCCTGTGGAATCCAAAATGCTGCTAAATATTGGTTTGGGGGTCAGTTGAGTGAGAGGTGGAGGAGGAAGCAGAAATTTAGGTCAAATAAAGGAATAATCTTTCATTTATCATTTTTGTACTGCAGTTAGGAAGACACTGCTGAATGAGTGAGGTGAGAAGAGAAGCTAAAATTCAGATCTAGACCTTCCCAGAAGAGCTTGAGGTGGTACATTTATCCCTGTGCTCACCAGGACACCACAAATGAGCATGAAGAACCAGGTTCCAGAGGCCAACCAGGGTCACTCCCAGCTGCCAGGTGAGTGCTGGGGGAGAGGGACCATCCTCCAGAAAAACAAGAAACTCTCACCCATTAAAGCCACACTGCTTCACAATGGCTGGGCCAGCAGCAGAAGACAAAGCTGCTCTCCCAAGGGATACCTGCTGGGAATCCTGCTCTGTGTTTCCAACCAGACCAGAAGGCTCCAACTGAGAATTGGAATTCAATTTGTAAAGAAACCAAGAATTAAATATGGGGTAAAAATGGAGAATATGCTAGATGACATTGCATATGAATGTCAGCTCTGTTTGAGGGTGTTTACAGGCAGGCTACAGCCTGCAATTTTAATTGGATCACAAAGTAGAAAATGAAAATGTTTCACTAAGCAAGATGAATGGTATGACATTTGTCCTCCAGATTGGTGATGATTATTTGTGGAGATGAATAAACAGCAAAGCTAAGATGAAGTTTCAGTTTCCACAAGCAAGAGGGAAGCATAAATATAAAACTTTATCCCAATTTTCTAAACTGTTTCATAAATCACAAGTGGAAAGAATCCAAATGCGCAGACTTAGGAAACATAAATGTTCCTGCTGACCACGTTTAACTTTCAGGATCTCAGCTGCACCAGAACTGAAATAGCTGCCAACATGTTTTACAAAACCTTTGCCACCAGCCAGCCCAAAGCCTGGCAAGTTATTGGTAAACCTCCAGGAGGATTTAACAAAGACCTGAAAAGTTGCTTGTAGAAGACAGAAGATTGAGGCAGATCTTGATGTGATGTAGAACAGGGTAGCTGTGAAACACAGCTGATTTAAATGTTGCTTTAATGCCCCTCTATAAGGTTTTCAACAAAATTATCTCCTAACCCTGATCCATCAGCCTTATGTGTGGACAGAGCTGGGACAGACTGGGGGTTCTCTGAGCTACCCCACTAATACAATTCCTAATGAGTTTCTGTGCACCAGTCTGGTAGAAAATAGCAACAGTGTGAGCCTGACATAGAAAAAAAAAAAAAAAACCTCATCTTTAACATTTCTCTTTATTTTCAAGCACTGGTTTCTATATCCAGAATGGCTGGCAGTAGGCACCTGCTCATATGGTTGGAACAGCAACATAAAGAAACATCACATCTCAACTCTCACAACTCTCACATGAGAGAAAACCTACCTAAATACACCTAATTTTCAGCTTAATGTGGTCTAGCAGGTGTTTTGGGCAATCAGAGAAAAATAAACCTCCAGAGCTACATGTCAAAGAAACAAAGACAGCCTGGGCTCCTGGAGAACACGGGGAGTTTTACCTGAGCAAAATGTGAATAAGGGTTTAAACCAGAGAGGCAGGAAGCTGCTCCCAAAAGGAGGACACACAACATCTGGCAGGATGCTGGGATGCTGCACCATCTCCATCTGTGGCCCAAATTCAGCAAAGTATTTGCCACATCTTTCCAGAACAGCACCTTCAATTTAGCTCACTCTGCAGAGACTCTCACTCTGCCCTGGGATATACCTAATAAAAGTCATTGTCATATTTAATATTCATATTAAAGAATCAGGAGGATCCAATCTAGGCCTAAAAACCTGAAATACCCCAAATACATTTAAAACAACACCAATATAGGTGTCCTTATTTAAGTATCTGTCAAATGCTGGCAGTGTTCTCAAAACATGAATCAGGACAGAGCTATTTTATTTCCAGTGGAAATGCCTGAACCTCATTTAATCTGTTTCAGCTTTTGACCTGTCAGAACCCATATGGGATGAAGCATTGAGTGAATTATGGAAAATCAGCAACTTCTGCTGTGCCCTAATTATTGATCAAAGGAGAAGGTAAGCATTTGCAGGGTCCACACTTGAGTGAAATGCTTTTCCTACTCAGAAAAAGAGAAAGTTCAGTGCAAGCTTTTCTTCAGTGCTGCTGCTATCTATATTACCCAACTGTGACCTGAAAGTGAAAACAGCTATAAACATGTATGAATCATCTTCTTATATGAATTTTATCCAAGTTCAGACAGGTAGCCTGGATTGTTGAGCTGTTTTTACCTTACTATGCTGTGGTTTAAAGCAAACTTGAGCTAAGGAAATGTACATGTGTCAGTTTTAAAGCTGACATCGTTCTTCTAACACGTGAATAAAATTAAAACAAATTCAGTCCCATAAAAAGCTGGATTCGGCAAGCTGGGGAAAAAAACCCACATGTTGTTTACTCCTGCCATTAATACTCTCAAAAGGCATTTTCCTGACATAAAACTCATTTTCACCCCTGTTTTGGTTTTGCAGCATGGCAGCAATAATGTTTAAGCCCGTTGGACACCACCTCATGGAACATGCTGCAAATCAGCTCCATGGGGTGAGCATCCCACTGCTGGCTGCAGCCCTGACACCCTTCCAGGGCTTCCAGGAGGGAAGGAAACCCTTTAGCACCAGGTGAAAGATCAAAATAGAACATTCTGGGCTGTCATTTTATAAAGAGCTTGCTTGGGTGTTGGAGTCTGGGAGGGTAAATCAATGGAGGTTTCAGCTTGGGAAGCCAATTTGGAACAAAAGGCAATGTAAAAACACTGAGCTGTCCCAAGGGCCCCACAAAGTCCATTTGCATCTTGTCTGTATGCTCCATGCAAGGGACTCTAATTCCAGCACTTGCCAGCTATTAGCACGTGCTAATGAGGCTCCTGCAATTCCAGTCCAGGATGAGGAGGGCAGGAATTAGACTTGGAGCAGTGGGAGAGGCATTCTGGCAATCAAGCAGCCGTCCTGAAGAGGCATTTCTCCTCTGGTTACCACTAATTAAAGCCTCTTTTTTGGCTCTTTTTAAAAAGCCTCTCTTTAACCCCACCATTTGTGGTGGGTCCAGGCAGCCAGCGTGGGGCAGGATGGGGCTCAGGGACACCCACAGAGGGTCACAGGGAGGGTCACAGGTTTCCTGCTCTGTAACTGCATCTCCTGCCAGGGCAGCCCTTACCCAGACCAGGATCCCACTGATGCTGGGACACTGACTCAGTGGTGACCCAGAAAAATCATCCACCTTGACCACCATGAGCTGGTTATGCCTACAAGCGAGACTGTAGGAACTGGAAACTAAACTGGGAAGCACTGAGGGCAAAGGCTTTAGGGTATTCACACCCACAGTCACTGCACTTAGGCTCAGTCCCATATGCAAAGCTGTCCAACCACCTAGGAGAGACAGGAACAGCTCTGTGTCCAGGAGGGACACAGTCTGATGCCCATTTGGCAGGTTTATCCTGTATCCTGCATGGCAGTGGGGTTGGGAAGCCCAGAGGCAGTGGGAGCCACCAGTGTGACCTCTGTGCCACAGGGAAAATGCCCAAATCCTGCCCTGAACAGCACAGGGAAAATGTCCATCTCCTGCTTTGCATGGCAAAGGGGAAATGCCCAAATCCTGCCTTCCTTGACACTGGGAAAATGTCAAAATCCTGCCCTGCACAGCACAGAGAAAATGCCCAAATCCTGCCCTGCACAGTACAGGGAAAATGGCCAAATCCTGCCTTTCATGGCACAGGGGAAATACCCAAATCTTGCCTTGCATGGCACAGGGAAAATGCCCAAATCTTGCCTTCCATGGCAGAGGGGAAATGCCCAAATCTTGCCTTGCATGGCACAGGGGAAATGCCCAAATCTTGCCCTACAGAGCACAGGGAAAATACCCAAATCCTTCCTTGCATGGCACAGGGGAAATGCCCAAATCCTGCCTTGCATGGCACAGGGGAAATGCCCAAATCCTGGCCTGCACAGCAATGCTGGCAGGCCCAGCTCCACACACAGCACAGGCTCATCTCACACAGCACACCCACCACATGAACTCTGCATTTTGTCTGGAAAGAGCAAGCAGCACTCAGCTCAACCAGAAATGAAAGCAGAGCCCATTGTAACAAACAGGGAGGTAACGAGCCCCAGTTCTCCTCTTGGGCACGGTCACAGCTCCTCTTAGGACAGAGCTGGGAGTGCACAAGACAGGAAGAGGGCTCTTGGAGAACAGAAGAACCTGCTTTAAGGACATGACACAGAGCCACAACACCAAGGAGAGAGAGAAGTAGAAAGAGACATACTGGAGAAGCTGACCATTGCGAAATGCTGACACCGGTCTCCTGTGAATTCGATCGGACACCTACCGGAAGAGAGAAAACCAGAAAGAGAGAAACAAGATAGCAAAATGACACCCAAACAGGCTGAAGTGAGGCCCCTTCTGCTCCCTTCCACGGCTCCTCTCTGTCTGCTTGCAGCCTTGACCCTTACCTGCAGCCCTAAGCCCTACCCAAAGCTGACACCAAGAGCCATCCCTGACTAGAGCACGCTACATCCACCGCTGTGCCCGGGAGGGTTTTAGTAGTGTGGTGCATTTTTTGTCTTCAGACATACTTTGCTTAGGATCTGGCATGTACAATCGCAAAGGCAGTTTCTCCAAACATCTCTGTCCGAAGAATCCATTTGGACATCTGGAGGGGAAAAGGGGAGAAATCACAGAACATGTCTGGCACAGTTCTTGAGGCTATGGTCAGAAATAAAAAGTGCATTGTGATGAATGGAAAAAATAAAGGTTTTACATGCGAATTTACTCTTTGCTTTCACCAGGCACCTGCAACATCAGTGCTCCAGCTGGTTTGGGCCTGGGTCTTCAAGCAGGCAGCCAAACCCCTCCTGCTCTGCCCTGCTCTGCCTGCCTCATTCCTTCTCACCTGCTAAAAGCACCAGCTGGCAGGAAGATGAGATGGGCTGGATGCTACTCTCAGAGACTCTGTGGAGCTGCTCTGCAGGCTGGCAAGAGGCACCAAAGGCAGAGAGCAGCTGCTGAGGTGACAGCGAGCATTGGGTGTGGACAGCATCTCCCCATGGTGACCCCAGAAGTACCAGGGGTGTTCTCAGGGTGGTTAGAGAGAAAGCACAGGCAGAGTCTCTGTGTTAACAGAGAGGAAGGACAGAGCAGAAAGCTGCGCTGAGCTGAAGGGGTCTCACATGCTGTGAGAGGCTCTCTCAGGCTCGGGCCTGGCCTGGGTCACCTGCTGGGCCGAGGTGTGCCAGCCCATGGGCACCAGCTACACAGTCACAGGATGCTCAGGTGGCAGGGAGGCACTGGCACCAGCCCATGAGCAGCTCCCCAGGGCTGAGACAGGTTTGGGGAGCACAGGGCCATGGGCAGGGGTGCAGCAGGAGCTGCAGAGCCACCCAGGGTGAGCAGCTCTGCATTGTCACCCTCTGCAGCTGCAGGTGAGCCTGGGCAGCCATGGAAGCCCAGCCTGGTGAGGTCAAACACTTCTCCCCCAGGCACTTGTCTCCCTCCCTCACTTCACATCTTCTGGATATTTCTTGGATAGTCCTGCACAGGATCCCTGATTTTCTTCAAGTCCCAGCTCTCACCTCCCTGTCCCACAACTCCCTCCCTTCTCAGCACACCTCTCTTTCCTCTGAGCTTAAGAGGGCTTTATCTTTATAGCATTTTAACATCTGTTTTCCAACTTTTTGTGAGCAGAGCTGCAGGCTCTGCACCTGGTACAAGCCAGACCTTCCTCACTCTCAGATGCCACCCAGAAAATCTCACAGTGATCTGCAAGTGGTCAGCAAGGAAGGGACTGAAAGACACCTCAGTAAAAACAGATGAATCAGAGGCCAAATCTGATGTCAGTGGCTCAGCTCCTGGCCAGGCCTCTTCAAAGGACAGCAGGAGGTTGGAGCAGCCACAGCAGTGTCAGGCAACCGCTCCCAACCTGTGCATCTGGTAAGGGATGGTCCAGGTCCAGGTCCATGTCCAGGTCCAGGTCCAGGTCCAGTTCCAGGTCCAGGTTCCGGTTCCATGCAGAAACTCTTGATTTTTAGTAGTTGTACTGCATCATGGACATCACTGACCTGGTTTTGGCACTTGATTTCTTGCTGGGTTTCACTGCAGTTTGGGTAGGCCTCAGCTGTGCAAAAAAACTGCTCCCTCATTGCCCATGGCCAAATGTGGGTCAGCATCTGGGTTTTTGGGACCTGTGCTCACACCTCTAAGTGGGAGTGTGCTGGGCTATTTGTGCACCCCAAATTCCTCATGGAGAACTTTAGGGCACGGGTCTGCATGAGGCTGCCCTGAGCTCTCCAGTCACACCCTTCAGTTCCTCAGTATCCAAGTCACTTCTGAAACTGAAAATTGAACTCCCTAGTCAGGGAAATATCTTTGAAAAATTGGCACTTTTTTCTCATTGTTGGACGTTCATCTTGGGGCACAGGAGAGGGAGATTGACCAGCCATACCAAGGAAAGCTCAGCCCAAGGGGGCACCATCAGACATGGGGCCTGTTGGCCTTCCCTGCAATGAAGCAGAGGAAGCTGGTGCTGGGAAGTGAAGGAAATGCCCCATTGTCAATCAAAAAGCACAAACCTGAGGCACTGGGTGGCACAGCCTCACAAAACCAGCCCCAGGACTGGAGAAACCCTTCAGAGATGGCTTTGAGCAAGGAATCCAAAAGAGAAGGTGTCTTCCCAATCCTTTTTGAAGATTTTTCATCACCTCTGACAGAGTCAGGAACTTATTCACAGAGTCTTCAAGGGAATCCAGTTTAGCTTGCAAGGTGCTTCCCATCTCTCTGGGATCTGAGATTTCCTGGATGTTGTGAGCACACCAAAGGGTCTCAAGGGTGCTGCTGAATGAAGCAATCATCCCACTCACCCCAAAAAGGGGTGTTTTGTCAGAAAGGAGCTAAAATTACCTCAGCTGCACACCTGCAAGAGGTCAGCCAAGGCTGGAACTCCAGGGTGACTGAGGCAGCATGAAAGACTGAAAATTATGGGAAAATTTTAAGGAAATAAAAGCCCAGAGAAAGGAATTGGTAAGAAGTGGAAAAAAAAGCAAAACAAAAAGGTGTCAAAGAGGCTTTGATGCCATGACAGCTACCATACAGCCCATCCTCAGATCTCTGCAGTCAGCCAGGCGTGGGTGGGGAGAGGAGCTCTCAAGGCAGAAGGCTGCAGACAACTGCCTCCCCTGTGTCTGGGACAGCTAGGGTTTTCATCTTGAGTTACTCAGTGATTCAGCACCGGGAGAAGTGACAGGGAAAATGCCCCCCTGAACAAGAGCACCTTCTGTCACCTCTCAAGCTTGTGTACAAGCTGTCAAGACAATGTGCCACCCCTGCACACCTGGGTTCTGGCTCCTCATGAGCAAGGCTGCAGGCAGAAGCAGTGACCAGAAGACCTTTGAGAGCATGCAGTACTTTTGGTTCTTTTTTTTTTAAACCTGTCTCTAACTTCTAGGCTGCTGAAGATGATTTATTATTTATGACTGTGGCCCCAGATGTGACTTCAAGGAATGAAATTTCCAGCATGCTTGGCACATGGCTCTCCCAGTGTGGACAGGAACAGCAGTGGAGATCATCCCTTCTGCACTAAAATCTGCTGCCTGTGGTGAGGGCAGCTCCTCTGCAGTGAGGGACACACCTGAAAGTTCAGGCTCCCTGCAACTGAGAGCTGTGAGCTGGGATTGATCATGGCATCCTTCTCCCTGCACCTTTGACTCAAGAGGTTCTGACTGGTCCAGCAAAACCAAGCCCCTCCTTCTTTGGAAAACTCCTGCAGGGACTTCACAGCTGGTGGACTTCCCTCCAATATCATCTTTGGAGTTTTTGGTGCACTCACAGAGGCACAATGGGTCTCTCCCAGGGGAAGTGGACAAGGTTGTGGCCACAGAAATGGTCCTGGGGAAGGCCAGGGCTGCACCAACCCCTTGTCCCCTCTCCAGTCTGAGTGGAGACGCCCAAAACTGCCCTTGCTTAACTCCATCCCTCTGTGTCTAATTGCTGCCTCTGAAAATTGCTTGCAAATGCCATTGATAAAACATTGGTCAGGGATTTTTCTGTCCAGATTCTGTTTTCTGTTATTGCTGGAAAATATCCCATTCTTTTAATTTTGACCTTAAGACCTTTTCTTTTTTTAATAACCCCATTTTGAAAACATCTGCAAAATTCTGCTCTTGGGTTCAGGATGAATTGCAGTGAGATATTTACATGGTAACAAAAATGCAGTAAGATGATCAAATAAAGCATCTCAAAAAGCACAAACCAAAATAGTTTGCATGACTCATTTTTATGATGTTTGCTGGGCACTTACTGCTGAAAATTGAGGAACTTTGACATTTTGCCCCATATCAGGGCAGAGCAATAATTATTGTTAATTATTATTTGCTACTTTTGTCTTCCTGCTGGAAGCAAAACTTTTTTCTGTCCAGCTGTTGCTCTAAATCTTGCAAGGGTAGGCACATTTCCTTTGCACCCCCAGCTCTTAATTAAAATATGCCAAATTCAGTAGCTCTCATAAAGCAATCCATGCTACAGAAAAATGTGAATGAGCAGGTGCTTCAAAATGACACAATAAAGACAGGCTGTAGCAGAAGGACACAATGCACTGAAGTAAGCAAATGGGGGGAAAAAAATGTTCCAAGCACGTTGCTTTTTTGTGGGAAGGGCTGAAAAAGAAGACAGTTCTGTCATTGTCCCCTGACCAGTCCCAGATGATCAGGCTCTGGAGAGCCACAAAAGGCTGGGCTCCATCAAATCACTGATGGGAAGAAGAGAAAGCAACCAGAATAAACACAAAGGCCTTCTCCAGAGCAGCTAATCAAGGCATGTTTGCTGCAGAGTGGAGTCCAAAGCTCAGGGACACCCACTGCTGGCTCGGGGATGGCAGGATGTGCTGCCCTCACTGAGCCTTTGCTGCTGCAGGATCAGCTCCCACACTCTGATGGCCTCAGGGTCACTGAGGCATCACAGGGCACTGAGGCACAGATGGGCCGCTTGAACCTGAGAAGGCACCTGAACTCCTCACCCAAGACAAACAGCATGCAAACCCCAAGGAACGAGTCCTGGCTGGTCCGGGGGATTTGGAACAGGATGTGGAGATTTCACCCCTGGCTCTCCATTTCCAGGGACATTGCAACACCTCCCCACAGGGCTGCTCTACGCCCCTGCACAGTGACGTCCCTGTGGCTGTGCAATGACCAAATGCCACTGGCAGGGTGGAACAGCTCCAGATGCCACAGCTGAGCAAACAGTGCTGCCAGGGGCCATGCAGCATCCCTGTGACTGTCACACCTTTGGATGGGGCTCTGGGAAAGCACAGGGGAGCTGCAGCGTGGCCAAAACTTCAGAATTATCTTTCTCTTTCCTGGGAAAATCTGCAGGAAACAATAGCTTGGAGATGTGATTTTGAAAATTGGTGACTTGGGTTCATCAGTTAATTTTAAAATGATCTGATCTTTTCTCCTTTTGCTTTGTTTTGTTTTTTTATTCTCTCCTTGACTTTCCCTTTTTGCCTGAGGTGGTCCAGGCCTCTGACCTGCCTCCCCCACGTAAGGCAGAGCTGTCACCCCAAGCCCAGGCTGTTTATCTGTCCCATTTGCAAATCATCCAGCCTGATTCTTGTGAGCACAACTGGTCCAACATGCCGTGGAGGTGCTGCTCCATAATGCTGTTCTTCCACACAAGATCCTGGCCCAGAGCTGATCACTTTGATTCCACTGACCACACAGAAGAGATGTGAGGAGCATTTCAGTGGGCAGAGAAGGCTCTGCAGTGATGAGACCTGACTTGCTTGCTTTGTTTGGCTGGGAAGACCCCAGCTGTACCTCATGTGTGCCAAGACCTAAATGGGGAAAAGAGCACAGGCACAGCCCTGTGGGGCACCCAGCAATAAAAGGTTGGAGCAGCCTCCAAGTGCTCTGAGTTGTGCCAAGGTCTCTCCAGGATGGAGGCAGATCCAAGAGCAGAGGCTGCCAGTGATCCCAAGGCTCTGTGTGACTGGGCACAACAAACCAGGCACCAGTGCTGTGTGCCCCAGCTCAAGGCTGGAGACTCCCTTGTGTGCATCCCTCTGAGCTCTGCTCACACCTGTCCCTGCCCTGGAGTCAGATCCTCAGGCCTCTCTGAGCAAAATTATCTGAAAAAAGCCTTGAGAAATTCTTCCTGTCAAGATTCTGGAGCTTTTTAATTTACAAGGGATGCTGTGCGAGTTCTGTCTATGTGTGGCTCTGTCATTTCCCAGGTTTATGCAGAAAATTTGCAGAATATTTGAGGCAGGTCCCACTTCTCCCATTTGACTTCCAGGTGGTCTGTTTGCACAGATTGAATTATGTTCATGTTTCCTTTGACACCAGCATGTGTAGAATTTACTTCAAATTAAGGATAAAATTATGGAAGAACACAATCCAAAAAGACAAAATTTCTGGAACAATCCAAGTCCATTCTGGGCTCTTCCTCAGTGAAGAAAATGCTTTATCCAAGGTCTGTCTGAAGCATATTAGAAAGGGAGGGAGGGAATGAGATTACAAGCAAGTACTTTGTTCCTCAGGATTTAAAAGACCAGGAGGAACACGTTTCTGGGAAGCTTGTTATAAAATCATAATAAAAAGCCAGCTGCCAATTTAGGCAATTTTTGTTGCAAATCGAGCATGAACCACATCAGGAGAAGAAATTATTGGAGAACCCATCTGCTGGTTTTGGTCCAGACTGCCAGGGGGGACATCTTCAGGAAGGATTTCCTGTGCTTCTGGGCATCTGCAAGAATGGAACCCACCCCAAGAAGCTGATGGCAGGATGGTGGCAGGCAGTGAACAGGAACACTCCAAAACCCTGGTAGCTGGCATTGGAAAGGCTGGGAACATCACAAGGGTGCTGGGGGGGATAGAACCCCCTGAGCATGCAGTGAGGGAGGGCTGGAAGGGGGCACAGGGGCCAGATAATCCCCCCAGGGCCCTGGACACGTGCTGCTCCTGGCTGGAGCTGCTCACGTGGCTCTTGCTGATCTCCAGAGCTTTTGAAGAGGTTGTGAGCAGAACCTGCTGATCTCTTCCATGCTCCTGGCTCAGAGGCACAGTCAGGCTGGAGGGCCAAGGCTGCTGTTGCAGAGATCAGAAATGAACATGGAAACCTGTGTCTTTGCCTCTTCTCCTTTCTCCTGCATCTTTCACAAACCACAGCAGCAGATCTCCTGCCTTGGTGCAACGAGGAAGCCAAGGAATGTCCCAGCTCTTTGCCTGCAGGCAAAGGTGAAGTCTGTTTATTCATCAGCATCTTCCCCAAAAATCACCCCAAAATCATTGGGAGAGCCATTTTATGGGAAAAACTTTTCAGCTCAAATGCTTCTGCATCCCTCAATAGCTATTATCCTCTAGAATCCAGACAGTCTAAAATTACACCACTTCAAAAGCCAGGTTTTCTTATCTTCAGTCTGAGATTTTAATGATAAAAGCACCCAAGGAGAATGAGCATCCAGGGGTCTCCTCAAGCAGTGAGATCAGAAGTGACTGTGCTGTGTGGAAGGCATTGGGTCCCCCGGGTTTCTGAGAACATGGAGCCTTGTTTTTCTGTTTTTCTTGTTTTTCACCTTTCCTGGCAGATGAGCAGTGACAGTGCAGAGCTTCCAGCCCTTCCTCTGGGTAACACCTTCCTGCCCTTCCACACATGCCTGCTCAGTTCCCATCTGGTTTCAGCAATTGGTACCTTGGAACTCATCAGAAAAGGATATCATTTCACCATCTGCAAAGTGAGGAATTCAGGCTTTCAAATGATATGAAATAATTAGGTCTGTTTGGTGTGGCACATAAAATCTTAATGGGATCCATCACTGAGTGTTCCCTCTGTTCCTCATCTGTCAGAGCAGCCTGCTTGGAAGGTTGGCTGGAATTGCTTTGGTTGAAACAGTTGAGCTGCTGAAGACATTTGACAAGTTCTACAGTATTCTTCATTAGGAAAAAGTGATTCTTATGCATGGTAGGGGTACAGGTAACTCTTGTTGTAATTAGAAATTGGTCCCATTTGAATCTTGATCTGCATTTGGGTCCTTCCCAAAAGAAATAGCCCTGAAATCTGTGCCCTTGCCATGACCACATTGCTTGCAGATATTGATTCATACACTCCTCCACACTTCAAGGGTTCAGAATGGAAAGATTGGGATTTCTGGGGCTTCCTGGGCTGCAGCTACCCCAGAATGGTGGCTGTGACTTTAACCATCACAGAGGGCTTTAACCACCCCTGTGCTGTGACTTTAACCATCACATGGGGCTTTAACCATCCCTGTGCTGTGACTTTAACCATCACATGGAGCTTCCCCCGTGCTTCCTGTGGGGAGCACTGACCAGAGGAGCCCACGGTGCCACCAAGGAGCCAATGGCAGTGACAACTACACCAAATCACAGGGCTGGGGGGAGACAGGGGCTGCTCCCACTCCATGCACACATGGGAAATGTGGGAGCCACAGCTTCTGGTTTTTGTCCTGCCCAGCTCTTTCTGTGTCTAAGGGTGAGTCTGGGAGGACGGGGAGCTGCTCCTTCCACCCCAGCTGCACTGGAGAGCTAGAGCACAGGAGCTCAGCAGGATCCATTTCCACGTGGCCTCTTCTGCTGCTCCCTGCAGAATCAAAGGAGTTTTGGGACAAGGGAGGAGTTGTTTTCAGTGTGATCCAGCCCTTTCAGGCTTGTGTTCAGTGCAGCCTCCAGGCCTGAGGAGCTGAGGTGCCTGATGAGCATCACATCCTGCAGTGCTGCTGGGTGACATCCACAGATGCAAATACCTCTGGCTGTGTCTCCGCTGAGAGGTCTCGGGGTTCCAAAGGGAGAAATTTGTCAGCTCTGGGCTTCTCTGAGCTGGGCAGTGCTGCCTGGGTCACCAGGGGAGCTCAGGAGAGGATTCCATCTGCTCAGAGAGTGCACAGCCAGGGCACCAGGTCCTGCTCACTGTGCAGAGCCCAAGGGCAGGGACAGGTGAGCTCTGGGTACCCTCAGCACTGGCAATCAGACTGCACAGCTTGTCCCCAGGCACTGCTAGCCTTGGGGGTGAGCTGTGAGAGGCCACTGGGCTTTCTGGATCTGAACCAGGGGTGAAAAACTCTCACATCCCATTCCACATCCCTCATGCTGTGCAGCCCCACTTCAAACCCTTCAAAGCTCATTTTAGGGATAACTTAGTACACGTCTCTAGCTTTTCTTGCAGGTTTGAAGGGGGAAACAAACATCCCACACAGTGGCCACAAAGCTGCACAGAGAGGGGAACAGCTGGGAGTTAACCCTGGCCCATGAGACACAGGAGAGGTTGGGGCAGGTCTCAACAAGGGACCCCTCCAGTCATGGGGAAGGAGGAGAAGGCTGTGCCCCTGAAAATCTCCCTGATTGGAGAACAGGACGTGTCAGCTCAGGGAGAGCAAAAGGGACCCAAATTTCCTTGAAGCTGCAGAGGAGAAAGGGGAGAAAGGGAAAAGAAACAGCCAGGACAAACATATTCTTAGAGGGAGAAAAGCCAGGAAAAGTGAACAGTGACACGCACACAAAAAAGGAAAATACAAATCCTTGGCCCCTCTCCCCACCCCTGCCCCTCTAGTGCCCCTCTCTGAACCTGCACAGCTCAAACTGCAATTGCCAGGAGAATTTCAGAGCTCCCCCCCAGTCTGGCAGCTGCACAAAGGTCTCCTCTCCCTCAGCCAAGAAATTTCCATATTGACACAAGAACTCCACTCACTTACTTGCACGACAGCTGATTAATGCCCTCGATGTAGTAGCACACCCCTCCATTGACACAATAGGACTTGGCTGTTTCGTTGCATTTTCTGGCATGCCCGGACCAGGAGGAGAGAGTTGTGGTTACTGCAGGGGAAAACAAAAACACACACACAAAAAGGAGATATTGTTATTTCCTTTGTTTGGCAATTCTGCTTCCTTAGATGATTTTCTACGAGTTTATTTGCCAAAGTAAAAACCCCAGAGCTACAAACCTCAGCCTGTGCCTGCAGACCCACCTTCAGGTCCCAGGGCTGCAACTTGACCCTTCCTTTCCCAGCAAAAGGGGCCAAGTGAGTGAGGAGGTGAAGACTCATCATCCTCTAAGCAGCCACAATGTAGTACAAAATCTTTTTTTTGGCAAGCTGTAGGGAAATGCCCCTTTCCCACTGTCCTTGGCCCTCCCTCATGCTGGGAATGCTGTGCCAGGAAGGCAAGGAAGGGTCAGGAAAGAGAGGGGCTGCAGAATCACAGAGTCCCAGTGATGTGCTGTGAGGCCTGAGCACCTCAGGACACTGGAGCCAGACCCAGAGGTGCTGCAGGGCACTTTGCATTGCTCCACACCTCTGCCAGCTGAGTTTTCAGAGGCAGAACCAGGTCTGGCACAAGCAGGAACATCTCCATGAACAGGGCTCCATCCCTGCCCTCTCCTGAGCGTTTCTCTGCCCTGCCACAGCTGGGCTGCCCCAACAGCCCCAGCAAAGTGCAGCAGGAGAAGCCAGCCAGCCCCAGCTCGTGCTGAGGCAGGCAGCCAACATGACTCCAGTCTCCCAGGTGCTTTTCCAAATCTAAACTTCTTTCTAGAGAAAACCTTTACAAAAGGTTTCTAGACAAAAGCTGTCCTGTAAGTGACAAGAAAACCTGCAGAATTTCACTGTAATTCCTGTCTCTGAGAGACTCTGATAAATGTACAGACTAAAGCAGAGTCTCCAAAGGTAAAACAAAGGCTGCCAGGAAGGAAAAAATCAGTTGTTAGAGCACTGATACAGATTACAGGAGGTGAGCAGCTCTGGGGAATGCAGACCCATCTTCACATAAATCTAACGAGTGCTGGGCACTAAAAAGCATGGATTTGTTACAACTGAATACTTAACCTCATTACAAACAGTCCCCTTTCCTGGACTACCCACCTTCCTCAGACCCTATCACAGTTACACCTCCAGCAGTGGCTACTGCCTGCTTTGCAGCACCTTTTATGCTGTAGCCAAAGCTTCTGAGGAGATATTCTCTTCCATCCTGTTGTCCAAAGGATGAATGAGCCTCCTGGAGATGTTTGTGACACCATTACTGAGACTGCATCCTCACTGACACAGGACTTGAGGAAGAAAGCTTTGACCAGAGCCAGGCAGAGCCCCAGGAGGAGCAGCAGGATGAGCCAAGGGCTGTGCCAGAGGGAGCCAGGGCTGCTCCCATTCCTTGTGCAGCCCCTGTGCCCACCCCACCTCTGCAAGGGCTGCAGCACACACACCAGAGCCAAGGGCTGCATTCCCAGCTCCTTTGGGAACATCTGGGCTCCCAGCACCTTGAGAAGCCTCTCACATGTGGGTGATGCTGGGCACTCAGGTTTGTTCTGCCTCTCACACGTCTGGGACTCTCTGCAGGGTCTGTGGGGTCCAGAGGAGATTCCCTCTGGGCTGTGCCCACCTGGAGCACCCACACTGTCACCTGAGCACGGCTCAGTCCCTGCTCTGTCCCGTGTGCTGTCCCAGCCATTGTCTGCCATTCCCATGGATGCCTCCCACTGGCTGACAGGCCAGAGCTATTTCCATGCCTTGCCTTGAATAACCATTGCCTCTGGCTCTGTCTTTTCACAGCTATCCAGGGCACAGCAAGCTGTCCCAAAGTGCTCTGCTAAGGAGACATGGAAAACACTCCAGCAGAGAGCCAGAGTGCTCACAGCCCTGGGACAGCAGCTGCTCCCTCAGGGCACGTCCAGCAGCCAGCTGGGAGCCAAATGTGGACAGCAGGGTGCTCACACTGCAGCAGAGTTTGGTTTGACCAAGCCTCCAGTGAAACCCTTTCAAAAATCTGAATCCCACACTTCTGCAGGAAATTCAGCACTCCCTTCCAGTTAAGATTAATGGTAACTAAAAGCCAAAGCCATTATGAGTCTGTGTAATTTATCTGAGGAATGCAGACTCATTATACAGACAAGACTTTATAATTTATACCTTTACAAGATAGTAGCACATTTCTACTCAGGAGAGGAGAGCTGTGGGTCTCTGATAAGTGTGGGTCTGTGCAAGTGCACCATTGGATCAGGGAGCACTGAAACTTCATCAGCCCAAGAGCTGGTGCAAATTGAAAGGCACAGGGATGAAAAACAAGCACAGGCTGCAGGGAGCTGTCACCTCTGCAACCATCAAACACAGCACTTGGTAGCAAGCAAAACGATCCATCTGGCAAAGTCTCACATCATAAACCCTAAAGAGAATGGTTTTGGAGCAAACCTTGCCACAGCAAGAGAGGGGCAGAGAGGGAGAACTGAAAACAGAGCCCAGAAACCTCCCCATAGGAAACACCCTAGATACAAAGACACCCAACCCACCAAGAAAGGTGGATGGGAAGATGCAGTGCTGTGTGATGTGATGTGATACAGGAGGATCACAGTGCTCATCAGCCAGAGATTGCATGGGATCTTCATCCCATAAAAACAGTTTTGTCCCTTTTAAACAGGTAAAAGAGATCTTGACATGATTGAGGCTTGGGCATGTTGGGCACTTCTAGGGGAGGGCTATCAGTAGAGCTGTGCCTGTCAGGGAAATACATGGTTGGGAAATACTGCAGGAAAATACATGAGTGATCTCCTCTACTAGAAGCATCTTTCTAATGTCATTATCCTTTCAACCCTGTTTCCTGCAAGTACCTTGCCTTTTATCCCAAAGAAGCACAAAGTGTTTTAAAACTGAGCCATGGAATCGCCTCACTCCAGTGCATTTGTCAGCACAGAGATGTGGCAAAGGCTACAGAGAGAGGCAGTTCCTTGTTGAGAGGAGAGCATCAGGAAATGAGGCCATTCCAGACTGTAACACTGCTCAAGCCAAAGCCCGGTCTTGGTCCCAGCAGTGGCAAAGCTTAAAAAAGAAGATCAGTGATAATTTTCCTGAGCCCCTGCAGGATGGGCAGCACAGAGACAATCCAAGGCAGCCTCAGTGTTGTCACATTTAGTGGTCTTTGCTGGATACTTCCACCAACAAGTTAATTGCTGTTTGAATAAATCTGATCTTGTAGCACCCACAATATTTGTGACAACTACGAACACAGTGTGTAAAGCCACATCCCCATTTTGATATTTTTAACCTACCCTTTTCTGGCCTTTGTATTAGAAAAAACTACTCTTTATCCCCATTTGTTTCCCCTGTGCTACCTGTGGCATCACAGGCACAGCCAGCATCTCCCTCCCTAGCTGGGAAGCAATGATCTCTATTTATTCTTTTTTTGGGTCATCCCTGGTTCTGTTTTTCTCTTTGGAAATAGTGAGACCATACTGCACACATGATATTTCTGGGATATTTATTCCAGTCATAGAAATTCCTAATTTTTTTTTTTTTTTTGAGGTTTGGTGCACCGAATACAGATCTGTCTCTCTTATAACCTGAAACCTCACTGCTGGGTGGGGTAACGCATATTCTAGAGCCTTCCAAGGTGCCTGATCTGGGATTTCACATCCATGAGAGCAACAATTCAGGGAGCAAGGATGGAGAGACCTGCCAAGCTCCATGGGAGGACAAAGGGAAGCAAAATGTCTCACTTAGGGAATGGTAACTGTGCCTGGGTTGAAGCGTGGCCCTCGGACACCCTGTGGCTGCAGATCACACACAGCACCTCAGAGCAAGAGGCCAAGGGAGATCTCAGTGGGTTTCCAGCACACTGGTGGGATCATTCCCAGGTTCACAAGTTCCTTTGTGTTTAGCTCTATTCCCCATCAGCCTGGACCAACACTTTAACAACTGCATGGCTGGTGCAGAATCATCTGGGATGTTGGACCTTGGTGAAGTGAACCTCACACACAGTTTATTTACAGCTCTGTGCCAAACACCGTGCCTGCTGATCCACAGCACAATTACTCCCCACAGCTATTTCACATTAACTGCTCTACAACAGCAGGCAGATTTTACCCCCTGTTGGCTGGTGTGGCAGAATAAGTCCTTCATTCAGCCTCCAACACAACTCCATCTATCCCAAATGACTTGGAAAGTTGTAAAATTGCTGAGATGAGTGCAGAACTGAATAAGCAAGGGAGCAGTTCTGGCTGGTAGCAGGGTGGAACAGCACTCATGAAGGCAGTGGGACATGATGAGGGAGCTGTGCAGCGACACCAGCCATGAACCAAGAACCTCAGGTACTTCAACAAATTAAAAGCAGAAAACCACAAATGTGCACGAGGCAAGCAAGTGGTGATGTTTCCTTCTGACCAGGGGGAATAAGCAAGGTGCCCCTGAGATCCACAGTGGCAAACTGGTCAGAAAGGCCCTCAGAGTGGGAGAAGGGCTGGAGCAGCTCAGCCATCAGCAGGTCAGACCTCAGCTGGTCTTCAGCCCAGCACTGAGAACAAAGCAGGAGGGAGGGAGGAGGTGAGGACAAAGAAGAGAGAGGAATAATGAGGTGAAGAAAAGAGGTGAGGACAGGGAAGAGAGGGCTGGCTCTTGATGATGTGTTTGTGAATGATCTGCAGCCACATTTTATTGTTGCTGCCCCAGCCAGTGAGGACAGAGCAGCACAAACACATGGCAGATTCAGAGCACTGGAGTCATTCACAGAGTCTGTTTTCCACCACATGCCTCGGTTATTCTGGACTATCATCAATGGCAGGGCAGCAGAGAAGAGAGCCAGGGGCAGTGACTGTGCCAGGTGGACTTCCCTGCACACAGCCCATCTACGCAGAAAGGCCATTAATGATTGTGCAGGGATTCTTACACAATTCCTGCCATGCACGTCATCTCACCTTTGCAGGCAGCTCACCAGCCTGTTCCCAGAAGCCTGGTGAAACCCTCCCCTTGCAAAGAGTTAATTAATGCAGCTTGGACTATAAATTATAGTTAATTTTTCACGAGCTACAGCTACTGTCGAGGAGAGCAGGGAGACAG